AGGAGCCACGTAGACCCGTGAGCGGCGCTCCCGTCCGCTGCGGACGCAGTGAAGCGGTGAGCACTGTGCTCAGGAGCCGTGTGTCCCGGGTGCTGCACGGGGCGCGCTCACACGAAAAGCGTATGTCGGTGGTGCGTGTTCCAAAGTAAATCCTTAAAACTAACGTTGTTTAGTGTCCAGTGTAGTGGGCCCTGCAGGTTTGTTTCCGGCACAAAGTCCCTGTGAGCAGAGAGGAGAAACCCCACACACAGAGCGCACGGCTGTTCTGGTTTCTTGTTGATTCTGTAACAGAAGCTACGAGCATTTACATGCACCTACGATTCAGTGAGAAGGTGCCGTCGCTCCTGCTCTGAAAGCATCTTGGAAGGTCCATGTTTGCAGGAAGCTCCCTGGACCTCAGCTCTGAGGACTGTAGGCTGATCGGGATGATTACTCAGTTCTTAGCTTGACTTCGAGTGTGGGAATCGGTTTCATTTTATTCGTTGATTTCATTGGGGAGGACGTGCACCAAAGAAGCACCTGGAAAGGGAAGGCTGGCCCAGCAGCCCTGGGGGGCACGTTCTCCACCCGCACTACCAACGAAAGGTCACCGGGCCAGTCTGGCTCCGTGGATAGAGTATCGGCCTCCGAGTGAAGGGGCCCGGGTTCGATTCTAGTCAAGGGCAAATGCCTGGGTTGCAGGCTCCATCCCCGGGAGGAACCGGTCAATGTGTCTCTCTCACATGGATGTTTCTCTCTCTCTGTCTCTCTCCCTCCCTTCCACTCTCTCTAAAAAATTCAATGGAAAAATATCCTCGGAGTAACAAGCAAACAAAAAAATAAACGTGTTAATTAAAAAAAAAAAAAAAAGGTCCATAGGGAAAAAAATTGTGTGTGTTCATTCTTCATAGAAACAATTATAATTTTGTGAATAATTTTTCATTTGTAGTTTGCAAGACATATCAAGAAATCTGAAGGCCAGAAAATTCCGAAAGTTGAGTTGCAAATATCAATTTATGGAGTAAAAATTCTAGAACCCAAAACCAAGGTAAGGCTCATTTTTGAATGTCAGACCCTCTCGAATCTTTCCTTGTGATTAGATTCCTGTTTTAATAAATACGTGATGTTTGTTACCGGTTGGAACTGATGGGTTCCCAGTTGACGACCACTTACTCCCTGGGGTTCTGCGGGGGAGCGTTGGGCCTGCGCTCTGGCAGCTGTGCCTGTCTGTGTGAGCTGCTCTGGGCCCTGCTGAGCGCAGGAGCCTGTGAGTCTGGGCTCGGGGTCCCTCCCCTGCTGGGAGAGATGCGTGAGGAGTGGTCGCTGAGTAGGAAGGAAGCGGAGGCTGGTGCTATTTCTGGAAAGGCCCTGGGCTGCCTGCTGCCTGTGGACATGGTCAGCGTGTCCTGTCACCAGCGCTGCCGCCATTAGCCCTCGGACCTGCCGTGTCACAGCGGAGCTGGTTCCGCACTGCCTGGCGGCTGCCGTGGCCGCCTCCATGGGTCTCCCCGGGCAGCAGGTGGCGGGCCCTTGTCTCTCCCCACGGCACCTGTGCCCACACGACACCTGTGCCCACACGACACCTGTGCCCACATGGCAGGAGGTCCAGCACCAGCTGGTGTTCAGAGAATGGACCAGCCCCTCATGTGTGTTTGTGCGTGTTCACAGGAGGTCCAGCACCAGCTGGTGTTCAGGGAACGGACGAGTCCCTCATGTGTGTTTGTGCGCATTCACATGTGTGTTTGTGCCTGTTCACAGGAGGTCCAGCACCAGCTGGTGTTCAGGGAATGGACCAGCCCCTCGTGTGTTTGTTCACATGTGTGTTGTGTGTGTTCACATGCGTGTTTGTGCGTGTTCACATGTGTGTTTGTGCGTCTTCACATGTGTGTTTGTGCATGTTCGCAGGAAGTCCAGCACAACTGCCAGCTTCACCGAATATCGTTCTGTGCCGACGACAAGACGGACAAGAGGATCTTCACTTTCATCTGCAAAGATTCCGAGTCCAATAAGCACCTATGCTACGTCTTTGACAGCGAGAAGTGTGTACGTATGCAGGTGTCGTGGGAGGGTTGTTGTGTTACGGTCCAGGGATGTCTTGCTTCCGGCGTTAGTCAGGTCTTGGGACATGAGCGAGGCCTGTAATTACTTAAACTCGCTAGTGGGCCCGTCCTGCCCCCGGCCGGCCTGCGGGATCCCATCGTAACTGAATTCCCGTGTCAGGGACGCAGGCTCGCGTGCAAACTGCGTCTCCTAGGGCGCCAGCCCTGCTCATGCTGTGCAATTATTTATCTTAGAATCACATCACCTATTTGCGATTTTAATCTCAGGTATGACTTAGGAATGTGCACATAATGCAGAGTGATGGTCGGCAGAGTTGTCTTCTCTGGAATGTTAATGGATCTGATGCAAAGAAAGATGTTAAACTCCAGGAAATAACGCCTGTGCGACTTCTTTAAAAGTAGCCAACACTTTGAAGATATGGTTCTTCATTTTCATTACTCAGAAAGCTCACCATAGTGAAAGGTAGTAGAATCGTGGAAGGTGTGAGCGCATGTGTGCGCCTGTCCATGGGGGCGAGTGTTCACTTGTGAGTGTAATCTGAAGTTCTCAGCAGGTGAGGACAGTCAGGGAATTCTAAAGTTAAGTTCTGCAACGATTCTTTAATCTCCTGGAATCTTAAGGAAAACCCTGGGTCTTGATTATAAGCATAAGCTAATGCTGATCATAACCTATAGTCTGTAGTCCGAGGTCCTGTTGTAAAGCAGACGATGTGAATTCCAAGACACGTTGCAGCCATCGATGGCTTTTTCTTTCTCCAGAATGTTTTTATTGATTTTAGATAAAGAGAAAGGGGAGTGGGAGAGGGGGATAGAAACATCAATGATGAGAGAGAATCATCAACTTCGATCAGCTGCCTCCTGCACCCCCCTCACCCCCCCTGCTGGGGACCAGGCCTGCAGCCAGGGCCTGTGCGCTGACCGGGAATCAGAACGGAGCGCCTGGGTCGACACTCATCCACTGATGTCTTCAACGAAGGAAGGACATCTCACCTCGGCAACATTGTTGGCTGAGACAGGAAAAGAACTTAATTCATGCATTTGCTCATTGTTCAGGCTGCCATGGATGTCAGAGGACTAGTATTATTGTCACCCTCACGCAGTTATTTCTGTTTTCCGTATGTGAGCTTTTTGAAAACAAACACCTTTTTATTTGTTCACGTAAGTCCTACAACAGGTGGACAATAGATACTCAATGAATTTTTCTTTAAAGAAAAAGGCCATCTTTCAGTAGAACATGCTAATATCTGTATCTTTTAGACTATAGTGCTCTTTAAAAAGGCAAATTAATATGCTAACCTAATTGGCATCAAAATACCTTTTGAGAGTTTGATGAACATTATAGAACATTTTGTCAGAAGAGATATACTTACCCACATGAGAAATGCTGTGTGCACAATAAGGAATTTTCTATGCAGTTCCAGTGGTTTTTGAAACGTATCCTATTGAGTGAATGCATTATGTTTAATGCTCCAAGTGCTGCTTAACCAAGATTGCTTGCAGATGTTCCGTCTGTGTGACCGAGAAGGCTAAAGTAGACATCTTCTATGTGTGAGATAGACTAGCCTTTTACCACTTACACCGAGCAGTGCACTTGGCTGTCTTTCTTGTCCTGCGCATGGACATAAACTTCCTTGGGGTCTTTTGAAATATTAACAGAAGAGATCGTTATGAACATGAGCCTTCTTAGGGCTTTGTGTCAAGTGCTTCTCTTCATTTGATCCCCATCAAGTTGCTTACGTGATCGTTTAAACATAAGCTTGCCAGAATCCCTGACTTTATTGCTACCCGATCATCACTGTTTGTCACCGACTTCCGTAATTGTGATTCCTGGAGGCATCATTCTCTCTGAAGATAGCATGTGCGCATTGTGTTTTCTGAAGGCTGCAAACGTGGAGCCTGCAGCGATGGCTCACACCGTCTGGTGCTCAGCACTCAGAAGGGGGCCTTTCAAAGCAGAGCTCTTCAGTTTCCACTTCAAAAAACAAGTTCATGTTGATCGGCTGGAGCGCAGGGAATCGACGGGTAGCACGTTCGCCAAGTAATTCTGCTGCAGGTGGATGGAGTCTGGGCTTCGGAAAGCAAGGGTCTGTCTGAGCTCCCTCTCCAACCTCACGTTAGCATCACTTCCATGAATGAGCTCAACCAGGACTGTTTCCTCAAAGTTTCATTACATTATTTTTACCTCAAGGTTTTATTTGCTCTAATTGTATTAATTTGCATAGCTTATAACTATAAATATATGGGAAATTGAATTTATACTTTAATACTTATTAAAAGAGAAATTCCCGGGCCTATATGGTTTCATTGGTGTGATGTTTGTGAAGCGTTCAATTAATGACTTTACCCAACTTCATGTTAATATCATAAGTAAGTGTGTTTGTCTGTCTTATTTTTTTAAATCTATTTTTATTGATCTCAGAAAGGAAAGGAGAGGGAAAGAGAGATGGAAACATCAATGATGAGAGAGAATAATTGATTGGCTGCCTCCTGCACGCCCCACACTGGGGGTTGAGCCCGCAACCCAGGCATGTGTCCTCACTGGGACTTAAACCGTGACCTCCTGGCTCATAGGTCGACGCTCAACCACTGAGCCACGCTGGGCACATTATTGTTTTTACGTCGTGCATGGGGAGGCATTGAGTCGTTACTCAGCAGCGAGAACTCTGCTCATTTCCACTCCTCTACCCGCAGCTGCTGCCCTTCACAAGTACCCAATGTGAATGCTTTTCTTGGTTCTCAGAGCAGCCTGACACATGACCACTAAATGCAAATCTCCTTTGTTTTATTTGTATGAAGGCGGAAGAGATCACTTTAACCATCGGCCAAGCGTTTAACCTGGCATACCGGAAATTCCTAGAATCTGGAGGCAAGGATGTGGAAACTAGAAAACAGATCGCAGGGCTCCAGAAAAGAGTGAGTAAACGGAGCGGGCCATGTCGCATGTGAGGTCAACACGGGGAGACTCGCATATCATCAGGCAGACGTAGCAGGCCGCCATCCATCCCCCACACTGTCCCCCTGTCCCTCCCACCATCACCCGCCCGCGGCGCGCGGTCGTTAACCATTTCGTGTTGGATTCCCGCAAGAGCGTAGTGTCTCATGTGACTCTGCTTCACTCCTGATGCTTCTCGCGGGATCAGAGCAGCAGCAGCAGCACAGGCCGGGTAAAGTGGTTTCCCACGCAGGCCGGGCCGCGCCGTGAACTGCCACCTCTCCACGCTCCTCAGCGCTCCGCCAGCGCCTCCCCGGCCTGAGATTACTCCCCAAGGTTACGGGCGAGACTGCACCGCGCCCCAGGAGCACAGACGAAGGATTAGGAACATGCCTGGTGCACACGTGTGAAACATCTGAACGCCATAGGTCTGCCCGGGCACCCAGCACTCTGTACTCCCCAAGCTTCATCCAATAATACCAGACAGCACGTTGCAATTTTAAATAACAGGGAATCCCACTCACGAACGCAGTCACTATCAGAGCCGACATTTTCCAGGAATGCTTTTCTGAAGGTCCGTCCTATGGTCATTTGCCTTTTAGATTCAAGACTTGGAAGCAGAAAACGTGGAGCTTAAAAACAAAGTACAAGATCTGGAAAACCAGTTGCGAGTAACGCAGGTGTCAGCATCCCCAGTAAGTACACAGAATCAGGGCATGTTTTCCCGGGAAGAGGATTTCCTGGTGACAGGATGTCTCTGGGTCAGCAGCTCGGCGATGTTCCTAGTAACACTCTGTAGTCAGTAATTTAAAGCTGCACGTGGACAGAGAGGACAGCTACTCCCCAAGGTTAATTAAAAATTAAGATGTCCACCCGGCCAGAGGAGCTCAGTGACTGAGCGCTGACCTATGAACCACAAGGTCGCGGTTCGATTCCAGGTCAGGGCACATGCCCGGCTTGCAGGCTAGATCCCCAATAGAGGCGTGCAGGAGGCAACTGATCAATGATTCTCTCTCATCATTGATGTTTCTTTCTCTCCCCCCCCCTCCCTCTCTGAAATCAATCCTATATAATAAAGAGCTAATATGCAAATGGTCATCACGCCATCACGCCATGATGCCCTCACATCGACACAGTCCATCACCAGGAGGTTGCGTGCACAGCGCGGGGGCGGGTCCCAGCGGCTCCGGCCTACCTCTTTGGGGCAATCCATCCAGGAGCCCTGGATGGGTGGGTGGGGCCTACCTCTTTGGGGCGATCGATCACGGGGCTCCCGCACTGTGAGAGGGCACAGGCCATGCTGGGAACCCCCCCCCACCCTCCTGCATGAATTTCATGCACCAAACCTCTAGTAAAAAATAATTTTAAAAAATTTAAGATTTCCTCGTTAGCTCAGATCGGAGTTGTTTTTCCATGTTGCTCTTATCACTTATTGTTGTTGTTTTTTCCTAGAATAATTCAGCCCTCAATTTTTTTCTTTGTGGCATATTCTTCATTCTATTCCTGTTGGTTACTATGTACTGAGGTTAGACTCTCTGGCCTCAGCCAACCTGCCCTTGGAGCACTGAGCTTCCTCCTGGAAGCTGGACTATCACCAGGACCAAGTCTGCTTTCTTATGTTGCACAGCCTGGTTCCCACGGGAGCGACACAGCGTATTTCAGACACTAACATGAAGGGTAGTCTCTTCAGACAACGCTCAATGTTTATGGTTAAATTATTTCCCTCTGGTTTCTCAGAAATGTTAGATCCTCTTCCCAATACCAAGAAAGATACCATTACTTTGTGATTTGGCTAAGTAACATTTTTGGAGGGAGATGGAAGTTCAAACAATATTTTTTCCTAGGCAAAATATATTTAGGATATTTTTGAATCATGTGTACTAATGATTTTCTCCATTATAGTGTATATCTTAATCTGGTATTTTTGTTAATATATATTTTTAGTGACTTCAGAGAAGAAGGGAGAGGGAGAGAAAAATAAAAACATCAATGATGAGAGAGAATCATGGATCGGTTGCCTCATGCACGCCCCACACTGGGGATCGAGCCCGCAACCCAGGCATGTGCCCTGACCGGGAATTGAACCGTGACCTCCTGGTTCATAAGTTGACACTCAACCACTGAGCCACACCAGCTGGGCTTTATGTTGCATTTTAAAATTATTTAATGTGTAACTTACGGCATATACTATGAGCTGAGACACAATGATAGCATTTGCAAACTTGAAAAGGATGTTTGTTGCAGATTTTTATGTGCAAGTTCATTTTGCTTCAGTCACTAGGCTGGCCCAGGGAACACGTTTTAGCACACAGGTCTGTGTTTGCCATCTAGCGCTAGAATGCTCCCCCAGCTCATCAGCCTGAAGAATGCTTCTCTGAGGAGACATTTAGGGTTTCACACTTGCTCTGCCCTGGAAGTGGGTCAAAACACGTGCTTCCCTCTGCACCCCCTGCCCCATCGTCCCCTGCAGCCGGGGGTATTCCCACTGCTTGGCAAGTAGTTGGTGCCTGGGGGGCGATGGGGCCAGGTGAGCGGACGGAGTGAGGCCTGTGCCCTCGCGCCTCTGTCATGCACACGCCGTGCTGGCGCGTCCTTCTCAGGTTCCGGCTGGTTCTGCTGTTCCTTCCGACGGCTTTCTCTTCACTGCCTTTACCAGGTGCTTCTCATCAAGTTTACGACTTTTTTGCCTCCCCCATTTTATGTATTTATTTTTCTTTTTGGTGAATTTATTGAGGTGACACTGGTGAACAAAATCATACAGGTTTCAGGGGCACGACGCTGCGACACATCATCCGTACCCTGTTTTGTGTGCTCCCCGCCCCCAAGTCAAGTCTCCTTCCATCACCATTGACCCCCCCCTGCTCTCCTCCACCTCCCTTCCCCCTCCCATCCCCCGGGCAGTCACCACACTGAGAGAGGCTCTGAGTGACATGGAGCAGAAAGGAGGAGAAAGGGCGGGAGCCTTTTAGAGAGATGGTTGTCGGGGCAGCCCATGCTGTGCAGGTGGCATGCGAATGGAGGCGGCGGATGAAAGTCAGGGCAGACGGCTGAGAACAGGCACAGGCCTGCGCCTGGAGGGAGAGCCCACAACGTGGAAGTGACGCGGAAGGTCCGAGTCGGGCCTCACAGGGCCGTGGGCCAGGGCGAAGCTTTTAGTGCTGTTGTTGTTGCTGTGGTTTAACTGCACCGACGGAGAAGTCGGGGTTAGGGCATCATCTGGCTGCTGCCCGCACCACAGGCTATGAAGAGGCCACAGTGGCCCGGCCGGTATGGCTCAGTGGTTGAGCACTGTCCCATGGACGAAGAGGTCCCAGGTCTGAGTCCCAGTCAGAGTACAGCCTGGGTTGCTGTTCGATCCCTAGTAGGGCGTGTAGGAGGCAGCCGATCCATGACTCTCTCTCATCATGGATATTTCTCTCTCCCTCTCCCTCTCCCTCCCTCTCTCTCTAAAAATCAATTGAAAAAAAGCATGTCAAGAGGCCAAAGTGAGGTCCCAGACTGGCCAGGCCGCTCCTGCCGTGGAGCAGGCGGGAGGAGGCCAGTAGGTCTAGACGTCTGTCAGTTGAGCCCGTCAGCAGAGCGTGATTCCTGGTGCGTGTGGAGGCGGAGTTCGCAGGATTTCCTGATGGCTGGTGGGCGCCGTGGAGTGAGAGAGCGGCCAGGATTGTCCCTTAAGGTTTCATCCTGAGCCTGGGGTATGGGTGCCACCCTCTGAAGTAGACATGACGTGGGGGAGGGGCAGTAAGAAGCAGAATTCACTCTTGCTCACGTGAGTTCTGCCTACTGGGCGGAGCTGTTCAGTGGCTGCAGAAGAGACAGACCTGGAACTCAAGGAGGGGCGCCTGTGGTGTGGTCCTCGAATGAAAAAGTTTGCTCTTCCTCTGTCATCGGGGGAACGCTTGTCGGTGGTCTCAGTTCATGCTCCCAGGAGAAGTCTGCTCCGGGAGCATGAAGGCGTAGTTTAGTTCTCGCCGGAGAAGACAAGTACGAGACTTTTTCTTTTGTTTGCTCTCAGTATTAAAATGAAAAGACATTTTTCACGACGAAAAAGGTGTATCTCTAATAGATATAAATATCCCAAACCCCTTTCACCTAAAGCCAGTTCCTTAAGTGCATGATGAATGAAGACCACTCCTGCTTTTCATTTTCTCGCGTGTAAAGTCACACGTGTGTCTTTGCTTGTACCAAACAGCCAGCACGCTGGCGTGTCTCCTGGACACACGACAGTGGTCCCTGGTCCCTTTTCCGCCCAGTGAAGTCGCCTCGATAGGCTGTGTCCACGCCTCTGTGTCCACCAACACCGTGGGCGGCTTCCCGGGGCTTTTGGAAGTCGGGTCCTTCTCAGGACAGCGTTTCGATACAGCGAGAACTTTCCGTTCCTTGGCTGTGCTGTTTGCCCTGCGCTGTGCTCTGGTGGTTTGGCAGCAGATCAGAGGTTGGTTTTCCACCATTTGGTACTAATTATCTCGGAACAATCTGATTTCCATTTATTGCATTCACATGGCAGTGCTGCCTGTATTTATATCAGAAAGGGGGTTTATTCTGCCCTCCTGGCCTCGCGGCCGCCTCCGGAGGGTTGCTTCATTATGAGATGTGGGCACAGCAAGTGACATCAAATCCCTCCTCCTGATTCTCGTGTCTGGGTGCTTACATTGTACATTTCTGGCTCGAGGAGCTTTTAACCAAATCAGGCTCTTGCCAGGACGTTAAGTGAACAGAGTTGTAGTCCCGAGACCCACTGGGCGTTCTGTTGCTGAGGAACATGATGTCTTCCTTCCATGAGACCCAGTGAGACCGGTAAACCTGCCTTCGCGTGATCGGCTGCGTGGTCGGCTGCGTGGTCGGCTGCGTGGCCCCTGACTGAGCTGGGCAGGACGATTGCGACCTGAAAAGTGGATTCGCTGCGAGTAAACAGTTTATCTTCCTCTGGCGTTTTCTCAGCGACGAGTGAAGTGGAGATGGGCAAGGGCAGATGGAGCGAACGCTCCGTTACACAACGAGCCCCCTGGGAATCTTTAAACAAAGGCATCCGTTTTAAACATGAGCGTTGACTCAGGAACACTTGGTGCCCACAGAACATGCTGACCAGTCCACAGCTTCACTTTCATGACTGTTAAGTCTCCAAAAGACGATCTGGAGAAGTAAACCCTTGTCTCATGGGAAGAAAAAATACTCCATTCCGGTCCCGACCATGAGCACCTGATTCAGTCACTGATCTCTCCTCGTTTCAGTTTCTCTCTGAGAGACTGGACATGGTAGCCATTCGATTTGCAGATTTCTTGTAAGAACATATAAGATGATAATAGGTCTTATAACGAAGAAACCAATATAAACAAATTGTGGATCGAGAAAGCTGAAAAAATACATCCATGATGCTGTAAGTTCTAAATTCTAGAAGTTGTTACTTATTTAAAAAGTGATGTAACCCGGCCAGCATGGCTCAGTGGTTGACCAGGAGGTCATAGTTCGATTCCAGGGCAGGACACAGGCCCAAGTTGTGGGCTCCATCCCCAGTGTGGTGCGTGCAGGAGGCAGCTGATCAGTGATTCTCTCTCATCATTGATGATTCTATCTCTCTCCCTCTCTCTTCTTCTCTGAAATCAATAAAAATATATTTTAAAAATTAAAAAATTAAATATAAATAAATAAAAAGTGATATCGAAAATGTGCCCTAACAGTGGACTTTAAAAGCATGAATTAGCATGGCAGGATAGAACGTATTGCTGGAACCTTTTTACATTACCATTATATTTCCCATCTTTAGTCTTATTTAACCATTTTTAATGAGAAATTTTTAATTTAGACCTTCATATTAATAAAT